TTCAGGAAGCAGGTACTGCTCTGTCAGTCTTTCCCCCCATACGAGGAGGCTTTTTAGGACCCGGCTACAACATGATGATTTGAGAACTGCAAAGGATTTTACTCCACTACTCCCGACTGGCCGAATCATTAGCTTGCTGAAACTGCTCCCATGCTCCACGCCAATGCCAGCAGCGGGGCTGTACGTGTGCTGGCACCACTGGAGCTGCACCACGGCCCGTTGGGAGACTCCAGGGTGCGAGGGGTGCTGCACCCTGCACCATTCTGACTCCGTCACTGCTAATCGCAGCTCTTAGATCGCTCCGCTACCCAATTCTTACACAAACAGTTCGAGGAAGCAAGCAGAGAAAGGGACAAAGCAGGAGACATAAGGAGTGCAAAGCCTCACAGAAGGGCACAAAGCACAAAACGCCTCTTCTGCCAGTTCAAAAAACTTCCCAGCTCCTTGCACTAGGCAGGAGTGCGTGAGCAGGGATGCAGAGCTCCCCTCCTACCGAGCTCGCAGCTAAAGCCCTCCCCCAGTTCCCAGGGTCTTCAAATGAAGATTTGCATAGTACTTCCAGATCGTTCCCGAGAGAAGGGACAATGGCGCTCTCAACGCCCTCTTGCCCCCGCCCCCCTTCACTTACAAAGCTGATAAAGCTCTGGTGAAAAGGGGAACAAAGGATTTACAGATGGCGAATATTGATTTCTGCAGTTCCAGGGCTACAGGGAGAAGATGAAGAACCCCCCAGAAAGTCTGTGAAGTTTGAGACACAGGCACTAGCTCTGCAGCACGAACTCCACGTTTGTTAAGCCAGAGTCTGATGGAGGAAACGTTGTGATTCGAGGTCCCTGGAAAATGCACAGAGAGGACGGTTGCAGCCTGAAGTCCCAGCGCGAAGGTTTGCTGCTCCCAGACCTCCCGAAGGCAGAGATGCTTCCAGCGAAAGCCGTTTGCCACCAGGCGGGCCAGCCCTTTTTTTTTGCTTCGCTCCACCAGCCACTGCAGCAGTTAGGAAAAATAAGAAAAAGAAAGGTGAAAGATGAGTGTTTGGAAAGCGCCCTTTGATTCCGACTTACAACAGAACCTCCCTATGGCAAAACTCACTGACTTTTAGGGCCGTTACCCGAAGGCTAAAGCATCCTGCCTCCACAAGCACTTCTGTGCTTAGTACGAACAAACCCAAGCTTTATTTTGTGCTACAAACATTCTTTTCCAGCTTAGCGAGTCAGCTCCACCTCTGCTGAATGCCAGCTTGCTGCAGTCGTTCAAGTTTTGCTGAACTGCAACAGCGATACGACCCAAAGCATTGAAATCAGGTGCCGCACACCACTGCTGCCGACCCAGCGGGAGACATCCACGGGGCAGCCAAGGCGGGCTGCAGGAGCTCTGGCCTGGCCTCACAGAATCACAGCATGGTCGGGGTTGGAAGGGACCTCTGTGGGTCATCTAGTCCAACCCCTCTGCCAAAGCAGGGTCACCTCCACCAGCCCCACCACCACACCAAAAGCACGACTGGCTACCAGCAAGGGTTTTTTTCTTTTCCTTTTTCAGAGCTAATTTTGTAGCATTTCTGTACTCAGAAGGTTCCCAGGATGCTGGATCTTTTGGGAAAATGTATGAGTTGAAACTTCCTCAACATGTTAGATTTAGGGCCGGATTTGTAAAGCGGTAAGCTGGTTTCTAAATCAAGCTATAGGCCCTCAAATAGGTCAGCTTCGGAAAAACTCACACGAAGCCCTCTCCGCAAGGCAGTCGCGCACACCAGTGAGTGCAAGAGGGGATTCCCGCGCCACAGGCCAGCAACCCAGACAGCGTTACCGAGCCAGCGGCAGAGCCATCTGCTCATTCACCAGTATTTTCCCCAAACCTTTGTAAAAACACATGCTGCCGGGGCGACTGCAGTCATCACAGTGACAACAACCACTACGTACTGCACAGTTAAACACATTCCATACAACTGTATCAAAACATTTTTCACGATGATTTTGAAAATATCTCGGTTTCTTCAAATACCCGTCTTCTCTCGATGAGAAGTTTTTCACATGGAACCCTCTGTATCTTCCCACAGTCACTCCCAGTTCACACCACATTTAAAGAAGAGGTGAATCAGACCCATCAGACACACCTAATACAGACATTAATGGCAACTGTTGGGATGGTAAAGCCTGAGAAAGCCCCATTTTAAATCCACGTAACTGAGACGGTAATGAAACTGCCACCATGCTCAGGCTCAGGACAGACCCGAACCCCATTTTCAGTTGCTCTCCACAAGCCCCTCGGAGCTCCGTGGGTGGAAGAAGACCTCACAAGCAACTTCTACCGTGGGGCAGCTGTGCTAAGAGTTGCCGCTACCACATACTGCTCTGTGTGAGCATTTTCAAGACAGTCAGAGGAGTAAAGGTGCCAGGGAGAACTAGGGAGAAGCACACCTTGGCTGCTCTCACCTCCT